AGGGCGGGGAAAGCATGTTTTACATGTTTTAAATTGCCTTGCTTTCAGTTGCGTTGCAGCTGCTGGAAAGGGTCACCCAGCAGAGCATGGAAGTCAGCCATGGCCTGGTGCTGGTCGGGAATGGGAGCAGGGCTCGTCTTCTAACGTTTTACCTCCTCCAAACAAGAGCTTCTCTGTCAGATGAAGCCTGTTCTCAACGCAGCCTTCAAGCCTTCAAGTGTGTCATCATTTCACCGCTGTGAAGTATGCTCTCCCTAAAAAAAGTTCGGAGAGCTGAAGCGTGCTGTTCGTACGCCCTGGAGAGTGCAGGATGCTTTGCATAGCTAGAAGCGGGGAAAACTCCCTTGCTGGCTTGGAAAGCACTGCTGTGGTGATTTTCCCTACTCTTGAGGGCTGCAGAGAAACACAAACGTTTCTTAGGGAAAAAATTTGATGCTAGCTTAGGAGCAAATAAGTGGCCTGTGCGTAGGAGTTAAATTTCTTGCGTGTTGCCTGAGTGCCAGGCAGTCAGGGCAGATTTGGGCTTTGGTTTCTGCTTGTGGTAGTGTGGCCAAGCAGAATCCACCGTCTCACCATACCCATGCAGACATGGCCCTGCTCCCTGACCTGCTGGCTCTTCACTTGGCCCCACAGTCCAGGCCTCAGCAGCCCAGTTTTCTTAGCTGTGCAGTGTGAGGCTGTCACATCTTGCAAAGTTTTCTGTTCCCTCTTCCAGCTGCCACGGAAGCTTATGTTAGTTTCTGTTGATTACTGGCAGGAATCATAACTGCCTGTGCCAAGTTGTGCTGCAAAACATCTAACAGGTCAATCACGTGCACTTCAGAGTTTAAGCTTGCTATAGTCCCTGTTAATTGTGAAGGAATTAATGCCTCCTTGTTTGCACATTTGTGTAGGTCTGCATGCTTTGCTCGGTAGGATATCATCTTTTCTGTTGTCACCGCTCAGAGAAGACCAGCCGACGATGGATGGCATTAGATTATGCAGGAATTTCCATTGGTATCCTGGGCTGCTATGTGTCGGGCGTGTTTTATGCGTTTTATTGCAATAACGTAAGTTTGAAGCACTTGTTGATGTAACGTTTAGTTCCCGTCGCTCTGTTGTCGTAGGAAGGGGGTTCATCGTAGGGTGTCTAGAGAGAACCTTAGTGGGGAGACAGAGATGGAAACTGAAACGAGTTCCTTCTGACGCCAGCTGAACTTCACTTGTTGAAGTGATAAGCAAGCTGAGGTTTCCCTTTCCAGCTGTCGGTCACACAAGCCTCAAGGAAATATTTAAATTTATATGGAGGCAGGGCAAACTTTACAGGTCCTGTCTTTGTCAAATGCATGAGACCGATTATGGCATGTGTTCCCATCCCAAGTAATTCAAATGTCATTTCCCACTAGGTAGCTTATATGAGGCAGAAACAAACTTACTTTCTCTTCATCTAATAGAGGACAAGTAAAATTAGTCCCCTTCAAAGGCCTCGGTTACATCTGTGCTGGCGATGGGCGCAGCGATCAGGTAGTTGACTGTCTCCTGGGCAGAGGTGTATTTACAATGTTTTGGTGAAGGCACTGCTTGGAATAAATGGTGTTCTACCAGGTGTGCCCCAGCAATAGAGTCCCTGCCCCTCGCCGTCAGGTGATTCATTCCAAGCCCATCGTTTGTGCTCGCAGCAGTGATGGGAGATTTGATATATCACCACATTTAGTCACGTCGGCTTCCTACCCAGCGTTTACTTTTGCACGTGATGAGAAACCCCACCGACTTGCTTTTGTTTCTTTTTTTCCCAGTACTGGCGTCAGGTGTATTTAATCACTGTGCTGGCAATGATCTTGGCAGTATTTTTTGCTCAGATTCATCCCAGTTACCTCACGCAACAGTGGCACAGGCTGCGCTCCATCATCTTTTGCTCAGTGTCTGGATATGGAATCATTCCCACCATCCACTGGGTGTGGCTCAACGGCGGCATTGGTGCATCTATTGTACAGGTACAAGAAAAAATGAAGGAAATAAGATTCCCTTTTGCTTTTCACTTGCTTTCTTTCTTCAGCCCTCTTACCCTTGGGGAAATGAGGGGGAAGCA